CAGTATCCATTTGCTTATAAATGTGTCGCTTTACCCTGAAAATTATTTGGCAATTGAGTTTGTTTTAGAATCTACACTAGCAGCATACAGTATTTTCCATAAATGTGATTTGGAAGTTGTTCAGCTTTTCAGGAAATTCACATCTGCCCAGTCACCCCCTCGAACTGGTGGCTGCACGGGAAGAGGCGACTTGTTGCCACTCGTGTCACATGACTATGTTGGCAATCCGGCTGCGGGTCTTTATGAGACCTTCACACTGTAGAACCTGCCGTCTAGGCCGGGTGTGAAATTCCCCGGCATCGTAAGGTCCACTCAGTACATTTCACAAAAAATTCAATTATCACTCTTATCTCGTCTTATACAAGCGAAGATAACTTTGTCTCTGGCCTAATCAACCACGCACTACTGCTATTACTGCCACTTTTGCTTCGACTGGCCCACTTCACATGCATACAAATGCCTGCAAGTGCCCATTCTGCCTCGCCTCACTCTTTTTCCCATCCCGTTGTCATGCACGACTGACTCTAGGCACTGACTCAATTACCAAATCTTCTCTCCGGCCGCAGGTGAGGCCGCCCAACTGCTGGTGTAGAGGTTTGTTGCGACGATGTGGTACAGTCTGACTAAAGATGTGATGAAAGAACGGATAGGCCAGACTTGTGTGTATTTGTTGGGCTCTGGGGTGGCGATTTGTGCGGCGTTTGGCCTGGCCGAGGGAGGCCAGGATTGGGCGAAAAAAGGCAGAGCTGCTTAGCCGGTCCACGGGCCGAATCTGGCAGAAGAGTCTTGGCGTTTTTGGAAAACGACGCAAGGAAGGCATAAACGAGGCGAAGCCCAACGAACAGGCGACTGATAAGGTAGACCTCATGACTTGGCAACGAGAGCCGGCGTGAAGTGGAGCAGTGAGTGAAGCAATCGTGAAAAAGGGCGAAGTGGCAACTTGACACCGCATCCAAGCGAACCAGACTTGCGCAATTCACACCAAACAGTCTATAAGCCGGCTTGACAGTGTGCAGCTCACATATATTTATATAAACAAGTATATATATATATATCTTTTTAAGTAAACAACCTACTCTCTACGATTCTGTACTACCTCTAGCTATCGCGCTTGACAATATACTTATTTATATTTATGTATATTTATATCTTCAGAGAGTATGTTTTTCACTGATATGAGCTTTCTTAAATTGCTGCGAAAACGTTAATTTTGTATGAAAGTGCATAAATAAAAGAGTTAAAAGTCGGCCTCACTAGAAGGCAACAACTGCTTCTTGCTGTGCTGTAGTTGTTTGGTTCTAATATGACGTTCAGGTTGACGCAGTCGACGAGACAATGTCCCCAGTTTTGGCTGAAACCATGTTGAGATTTTCCACCCTATGACGAACAGCATCAGAGCTGGGACTCACTCTTGTAAAAGTCTCAGGCGAACACTAATTCAAGAAGAAGCTTTTTGTCTATTCAATATCTCCTTTGAGAGTGAATATATCCTAATACAGTTAAAATGGCTTAACACACAATTGGACGAAATATTCATAAGCACCAAGTCCATAAATCACATTTGTTAGTTCATTTGGACTGCAGTGCCAATAAGATTTTATAACAAATGCTTAAAATAGGGCTTCCACTAAACTAGCACTAAACCACATGTTTCCTTATTTCACTATGGGCTTCGTGCTAAAAATATGACGTCATTTTTCGTTTAAAGGTAAGCTTTCGAGACTATTAGGAAACTCGATATGTATGAGATAAATTCATCCCATCTCGTTTAGAGTGATATAAGTAATGGTAGTTCAATTTTCCCATCATGCTATGTGCAGACATGACATTTCAAGTGAACTTTACATAGCCCAGACGGTATTATCATCCAGGATTAACTGAAGTTTTGACTTCACCAAGGTCTAATCAACTACCTCAGCGGGACTCGAACCATGACACTTAAACGCATAATCTCGGCACGTTAACCACTACGTCACAATTCCTACTTATAAAGGAAAAATAAGTAATGTAGTCTATTGCTATAGTTTTGCTGCCTCGACAGTCCCATCATAAAATTTGATATG